AACTGTTGTCGAAGTAGGATCCCGTCGTGGTTCGAACGAGGTCGAACCTGTGCTTTTGTCGATGGCCTTGGCCATTGGGATGTTGCTTCGAATTGTCGTCTAAGTAGGATCCCGTCGTGGTTCGAACGAGGTCGAACCTGTGCTTTTGTCGATGGCCTTGGCCATTGGGATGTTGCTTCGAACTGTTATCGAAGTAGGATCCCGTCGTGGTTCGAACGAGGTGAACTCACATTTTTGGAGACGGTTGTATTCTCGTCGGAAGATATCACATGTTGACGATGTTGAACTTAGATTTGTGTCGATGGTTGCATTTCCGTAGGAAGACATCACATGTTGACTAGTGGAGATCTGATTCCATACATACAATAGAGATTTGATTCCGTACATACAATGGAGATACGGTTCTGTACATATAATGGCGATTTGATTCCTTACATACAATGGAGATACGATTCCACTCATACAATGGAGATTTGATTCCGTACATATAAGGGCGATTTTGATTATCTATATGTAGTCCCTTCATTGCTTCAATCCAGAGATCACATTGACGGGTCAAAGTAATGAACAACACGTCGATCCATAAAGCGTCCCCCTTGTCACCTCGTTAAAACCTCCCCGAGAAAACCCGATTGGGACAAAATCCGGGTGAGGAAAAAAAGAGTACGACTTAGGTGACACCTTTAAGAAGTGGAAATACTTGAGGTGGGCGGTGTTCCAGTAGTTTTAGAGCAGTTTTCCCTCCATTGTTTCTAGCTGGAATGCCCCTTTGTTTACTACTGCTACAATTTTATACGGTCCGTCCCAGTTTATTCCTAATTTTCCTTTATTTGGATCATTTGAGGCCTGTGTTTTGGCCTTGAGGACGTAGTCGCCAACTTTGAGTGATCGCACCTTGGCTCTCTTGTTGTAGTATCTTTTCACTTGTTGTTTCTGGGCTACCATTCTTACGTGGACCATGTCTCTTCGTTCTTCGACTTCATCTAGGTCTTGTAGCCTACTTTCGTCGTTATTCGCCCCGCTCTCGTTGGAGTATCTCAAGCTGGGCTCCCCGACCTCAACGGGTATAACTATGTCAGTCCCGTAGACCAGTGAGTATGGCGTTTCTCCCGTGCTAGATTTTGGTGTAGTGCGGTATGCCCAAAATACTTCAGGTAGTAGTTCAGGACATAGCCCTTTAGCTTCCTCGAGCTTCTTTTTCAATATGTTCAGTATCACTTTGTTGGAGGACTCGACTTGGCCATTGGCGGCAGGATGATACGGCGTGGAGAGTATCCGTTTGATGTGCCATTTTTCGAAGAACTCAGTCGTTCTTTTTCCGAAGAACTGAGGTCCGTTGTCGCAGCTGATTTCCTTGGGGATGCCAAAACGGCATATAATATTTTTCCATATAAAGGCGATGACCTCCTGCTCACGTATCTGAGTATATTCACCTGCTTCCACCCATTTAGAGAAGTAGTCAGTTAAAACCAAAAGAAAACGTACCTTACCTCGCCCTACTGGGAGTGGGCCAACTATGTCCATTCCCCATTTTATGAATGGCCATGGCGAAGTGACGGAATGGAGGAGCTCCCCTGCTTGATGCACCATAGGGGTGTATTTTTGACACTGCTCGCACCTTCGGACATAGTCCGCGACTTCTTTTTTCATGGTAAGCCAGTAGTAACCGGCGTGAATGAGGCATCGAATGAGGGCGCAATTTCCCGTGTGGGTGCTGCAGTGCCCTTCGTGTACTTCTTCCAGTACTCACCTTGTTTGATGTGGTCCAAGACATTTGGCTAGGAGGCCACCGAACGTTCTCTTATAGAGATCATGGTTTACTAGGCTGTATCGGGTTGCTTGTAACCGGAGTTTCTTGGCTTCTTTTTTGTCTTGCGGCAGCGATCCATCCTGTAAATAGGCTGTAAAGCGGTTACGCCAGTCCCAAGTTAGGTTTATAGAATGTACCTCGACGTAGTCTATTGCGGAGTGAAGAAGGGTGACCACATTTTCTTTGCCAATATTCCTGGTGGCCGCAGCTAGTTTGGAGAGGCCATCTACTTCAATATTCTGCGCCTTAGGTATTTGGTCAAGGTGGCATTCGTCGAACTCTGGTAGCAGTCTATGGATTTCCGACTGGTACCTTTGCAGTCTCTGCTCTTTGATTTGGAAAGTCCCGATAACTTGATTCACAACGAGTGCAGAGTCGCAGTGGAGGATGATTCGTCAGGTGCCGTATTTGAGGGCTAACTTCAAACCTGCAATCACAGCCTCATACTCAGCCTCGTTTTTAGTTATCTCGAGGCATCGTATGGATTGGTGAATTACATCGCCTATAGGGACCTCGAGGACGAGTCCTAGTCTCGATCCCGAGGTATTCGAGGCGCCGTCAGTGTAGAGGACCCAGAGGTTGATATGTGTGGAAGCGCGAAGTGCTTCTTGTTCTGCCTCGGGCAATATTTCCACGCTGAAATCAGCGACAAAGTCGGCGAGCACCTGCGACTTAATGGTAGTTCGCGGTTGGTATGTTATGTCATGCTCGCTTAACTCTATGGCCCATTTGGCAAGTCTACCCGAGAGTTCGGGTTTGTGCAGGATACCTCTTACGGGACAAGTTGTTACCACTTTTATGGGGTTGAAAATATGGTCTAAGCTTGCGTGAAGCTATGACTAGTGCCAGAGCTAGCTTCTCAAGGTGAGGGTACCTTGTCTCAGCATCTATTAAAGTTTTGCTGATATAGTAAATTGGAGACTGCGTACCTTTATTTTCGCGGACCAAGACTGCACTTACTGCGACTTCCGAAACCACCAAATACACAAGCAGACACTCACCCGAATCCGCTTTGATGAGTACTGACGGCGAAGACATATACGCTTTTAGCTTTCTCAGGGCGTCGACACATTCCTCGTTCCATTGCAACCCGCGGTCTTTTCTCAGTACATTGAAGAATTTGTGGAATCTGTCCGAGGATCGTGAAATGAACCTCGACAAAGCGGTTATTCGCCCTGTTAGCTTCTGTACCTATTTTTTGCTAGTCAGTACTTCTGGTATTATGTCGATGGCTTTGATTTGATCCAGGTTGACTTCGATTCCCCTTTGTGATACGAGGAAGTCGAGGAATTTTCCCGAGGTTACGCCAAAGGCGCACTTCTCAGGATTAAGTTTCATCCCGTACTGCCTTAATATTCTGAAGGCCTCTTTCAGAGGGCTCATGTGATCCTCTTTCTTTGTCGACTTTACCAGCATGTCATCGATATACACCTACATGGTCTTGCCGAGCTGTTCTTTGAACATTTTGGTGACTAGCCTCTGGTACGCAGCCCAAGGAATTTTTTGAGTCCGAACGGCATCACTTTATAGCAGTACGTTCCTTGGTAAGTGATAAAAGTCATCTTTTCTTGATCTTCTTCAGCCATTAGAATTTGATTGTAACCAGAGTAGGCGTCCAAGAAGCTCAGCAACTCGTACCTCGCAGTCGCATTGATCAGTTGATCGATGTGGGGTAACGAGAAGGAATCCTTCGGGCATGCTTTGTTTAGATCAGTGAAGTCTATGCACATTCGCCATTCTCGTTCTTCTTTTTTACCATGACCACGTTGGCGACCCATTAGGGGTATTTTGATTCTCTAATGGAACCGTTGACGAGCAATTTATCTACCTCTTCGCTGACTGCCTCATTGATTGCAGCATTGAACTTCCTCCTTATTTGTCATACCGGCGAATAGAGTGGGTCGACATTCAGTCTGTGAGTGGCGATGTCCTTTGGTATTCCTAGCATATATGAATGGTAGAAGGCAAACAAATCGGCGTTGTTAGTTAAAAATTCACGATATTTACCTGGCTCCGAGAGGTTGTACCCTATGTAAGCCTTTTTTGTGTTGTCGACGTCGTCTAATTGGACGGGGTCAAGATCCTCTATAGTTGCCTTGCAGGCTTCTACTATGTCTAGATCATTGATGGCCTCCTTTTGTGGGTCGGGTTCAGTTCCCGACATGGCTGATTGCTATGTCTCTGCACTTGTACCTTTCAGTTGTTTGGTATGCATGCAATCTTGGGCGATTCGATAGCATTCTTGGGCGGTGCGTGGCTCGCCTCAGATGCTGAATATCACCCACGGGGTGGGAAATTTGATCACTTGATAGAAGCTTGAAGGGACGGCTCGCATGACGTGTATCCATGGTCGCCCTATGATGGCGTTATAAGTTGTTTCCTGATTCATGACGTGGAATGTTGTTTCCAGGGTGACTCCTCCTGCTAGGAAAGGCAGCACTATTTCTCCGAACGTCCGCTCTACTGCATTATTAAAACCCGTTAGTGTTATGCAACGTGGTATTATTTTATCCTCAAGCCTCATTTGCATGAGAACTCGTGGGTGAACAATACACGCACCGCTTCCGTCATCCACCATGATTCTTTTTACATCTGTATCGGCGATGCGTAAAGTTATAACCAAAGCATCATAGTGAGGGAAAGACAAACCGTCGGCATCTGACTTATCAAAGATGATACTGACTTCGAGGTCATTATACCGTTTGTGGGCGACCGTTCGTTTGAGTTTATACGCGGTGGTGAACTTCACATGGTTGATTACCGTGTAGTCTCTACCGCCAATGATCATCTGTATGGTGCGCGCTGGCGATGGTGGCTTTGGAGGTCCTTGGGACGAATCGCGCCCCCTGGAGAAGTTGGCCCTTCCTTTATCGCTGAGCAGTTCTTTCAGGTATCCCTGATTCAACATCCTAACTACTTCCTGCCGTAGACCTATGCAATCTTCAGTCTTGTGTCCCCTTTCTTGGTGGAATTTGCAGAGGACACTCGACCTCCTGGTGCTTGGGTCCGATTTCATTTTTTGCAGCCACTGCACCTTCGTGCCCAGCTTCTCTAACGTGTACACTACCTCTAAAAGGGATACACAAAAGTTATGAGCAAATAGCAGTGGAGGCATACCTCTTTCGTTCCGAAGGGGTGCGGTGTGTCACAGCACGACATCCACGTGTCTTGGAAGGGGCGGGTTAGATGTTCAGACATAGGGCTGATGCCTTTCTCGATTGAAACGTAGGGGTTGATCTCTTTGTCCATCGTTACGTCGATCTCTCCTTGCCTCGGTCTGAACTGACGTTAATCGCTGAATCGGTCCATTCAGATCGTCCTCATATGCTCTTACCTCGGCGCAATAGGCGTTATGAATCTCTTCCAATGTGGTGGGGGGGTACTTCATGAGTCTGCTGAGCAATTTTTTGGTTGCCTTTGATCTGTTCCTGTTTAACCCATTTTGAAAGGCTGTCACTGCCATCCCTTCTGACACGTTTAGAAGGCTCATCCTTACTCTGTTGAATCGGGCCAAGAAGTCCCAAAGTCCCTCGCCCGTCGTTTGCCTGACGGCGAAGATATCATTAACCCTAGTTTCAGCCTTCTTCGCCCCTGCATGAGCGGTGGCGAATTTGTCCGCCATCTCTTCAAACGTTGATATTGATCGTGCCAGTAGCTGGGAGTACCATGTCAATGCTCCCCCTGTCAAAGTTTCTCCGAACTTTTTTAGCATCACAGATGGTACCTGTTCCTTTGACAGATCGTTGCCCTTCACCGCAGTAACATAATGGATTAAATGGTCCTCTGGGTCTGTGGTCCCGTCGTATATTTTCAAGTATGGCGGCATTTTGAAGGTTTTTGGAATAGGATGAGGGCAGCCCCATCGTTGTATGGATGTTCGACGAATCGGCCCGCATCGCGTTTTGGTAATAGCTTAGGGGTACCTTGTATTTTGTCAACCCTTTCTTGATGCTCTCCTTCATTTGATCACAGAGCGTCTTGTTCTCGCTTTCCATCTCTTCCATTTTGTTTAAGATGGCCATGAGTGCATCGTCACCCGCATCAGTGACAGTGCGGGTGTTGCCCGTTCATGTAGTGCTCGGCTCATTGGTGGTAGCTGTGATTCCTATAGGCGGTAGGTCTTCGACATTTCCTTGAGGTGGTTTTTCGAGCATGTTGCTCAGAGAACTTGTCAACCATTCTTCTAGCAGCTTTTTGACTACTGGTGGTGTTTCTACCACCGTGGACGTTGAGGCTCCCCTTTCATGCAAGATCGTTAGATCCCCGTGTGGAGGAGGTGAGATCTCCTCCTCCGGTGTAACTCTTGGTGTTGTGTTCTCAGTGTCTTCCCTACCGGCTTCGTTGAGGGCGTTAAGGAGATTGTTTGAGACATCTGCTATCATCTTCAGCCTCGCTTCTTTTTCTGCCATTGTTGGTTTCTACGAGGTTTGAAGAGCAGTAACCGTCACTTTCAAGAACCTAGATGAGAACTATGATTTCAGCTATGGAAATCCCCACAGACAGCGCCAAATTGCTTGACTCAAAGATGTTACTCTTTTCGGACAAATCAATCAAAGATGAAGGGGTAAATCGTAGCTGAAGATAATAAACTATAGGATGATAAGAATAGAGAGAAGAGAGTTGTTAATTTTCTTTTCATTCAAAGCTAGTAAGTTTTACAAAGTGTGCCTTTTCCCTTTACAAGGCTCTCATTCTTCTTATATATTCGGAAATNCAAGGTTGTATCCTTCTTGGCGTCGACTCACAGGTACTCAATCATTTGTCGTGTTCATTGCAGTTCGTGGTTGGTCAAATTCAGACCCATACAGTACCCTCTTCTTGAAATATCAACTTGTGTTGTGTTTCCTTTTCGAACTCTAAATATAGATGAATCGCATTCAAAATATTTTAAAATGATTATTTCAAAGCAGTAAGATATCTATAGATTTTTCTCGCATGTAACTCAATGATCGATATGACTCGAAAAAGAATGTTGAATTGGATGAAAACCTCTATCTGTGTATGTCATGTATGCATATTTTTGTTGAGTCTAATATTTATGTTTTTGACGTTTATTAGCATATAAATTAGTCAATAAAAGTAGGAAAATACGAGAATCTTAACACAGATGAAAGCCAAGAATTAGGAAACATATTTTGTCTGGCGCAAAAATAGTGAGAATATTGAGTCAGAAAGGATGTTTATGTACAAACAGCCATGCGATGGCAATCAAATGAAAGTTTCTGCTCCATTACTGTAAAATATATGTACATCAGAAATTGAGGTAAAAGTTAATAAGAGGAAGATACGTTTACTTTATTAAAGTCGTCGAATAGAATCTAATTTAAAGTAGATTTTGCAAAGAAACATTTCTTTTTAAAAATGGAAAAAGGGATATTCTCTTCTCATTCCTTTTTACCTATTTTTCTTTGTTTATTTCTCCTTACTTTTCAGGTCATCGAGGAGAATGTTCTCTAGACATATAAGAGTTTGGTTAGGGAGAAAAGGCAAGCTTTAGGGTTTGGTTGGTGAGATTGTTTGGGGGGGGGGGGGGGGGGGAGGGGTAAAAGGAGAGAAGGTTAAAGGGGTGTTTGGAAATTGAAATTGATTTGAATCAAGCAAAGCCAATTGGTTTCAGGAGATATCTCACAGGAAAAAGGTGGTCCCAAATTCTTGTTTCCTTTCATTTCTTCCAAGAAGGCCTCTTGCTTTATTTGGTCAAAATGTTGACCTGCATTGATTGTATATAATGTTATTCCCTAGTAACCAACTAGAGCAAGAGATGATATAGCATATAGGCACTGTGGAACTACAGCCCAAGTAGAAGGAAGAGAAGAAGTGTATGTATAGTATATTATGGTCCATCAACCCAACATTTTCCTTTCTAGTGTCGTCAGACTCCCCTAGTCCCTAAAGCTATACAACATCATGATTGTGTATCATGATATCTATTCTTCTTCTTGTGTACCCTAAGATAACATTAACTTCCTATTTTATCCATACATCCCTTGAAATTGATGAAACCCCACACATATTAACACTCACCCCCGTCGTCCTATTTTTTAAACCCTCCTTACTCCTAACTTCTCATTTTGCTTACTCAATAACTCGAATCCATAACCTTGAAAGTAGAAAGTATTTACCGCTTGAATTACTCTTTTCTTGTTTACCCCTCGTCTTGGCCTAACCTTATAATCTTATTGGCCGATTAAGAACAAACGAAGTATATATCCATGAAAAAAATCGAATGACATCTCTTCTTCCAACTGGGAAAATGAGCAGAAGAAAATAATCTTATAAATATATCTTGTGTTTTATTTATGTATTATAATAGACAAATTCAATATACACCCCCGACTCAATTCCATATATATTAACATCATTTGATTGGCCTTCTCCAACGAAGATAATTATTCTGCATACAAATGCAATATATATTGAATTGGGTAATTTTCATTTTTGCTTATGAGATGATCAACTAGAGCTGTAGAATTGAGAATTAAATATATATATCTGCCGGTACTGAAAGAGACAGTGGAGAAAATTTCAAATAGAAAATTGACATAATCTTAAGAAAAGTTAATATATAGTTGAGAGCTCCACAGTTAGTAATATAAGCAAGTTAGTACATTAGAGAAGAGCCTGAAGCGTGCGTATGTAAATGATGTAAAAACGCATCCGCTATTCTTCGTTTCTCTTTTACACACATGCAGATAGTTGTAGATAAACATACAAATTAAAACCGGAAGATATTATAAAAACATTTTAATTTGTTACTTAGTTAGAGCTAACTAAATCTCAAATAATTGTCATAGAATGTCGCATAAATTATTGCCATCTCAATGGACAAATATGGAAGAGAAAAAAAAAAAGAAACTCGTCTAATGAAACAGTACGAGCAAAGGGGTTTCTTTGTCTTCCTTTTTGTTTTGAATGTGTGAGAGAGTAGGGAAAACTAAAGGGGTTGTAACTTAAGGCACTGAAGAAAGTGATAGAAAAGACAGGAATACAGAGAGATAATTGGGCAAGACATAGGTTGTAACTTTCATGATTGTCATTATGTGTATGTTTTCGATGCTTTATGGGAATATGTACAAATTAATTGTTGAGAACATACACAAACATATATACAACACAAAATAAAACACATACAACAGATCCAGAAAGTGCTCAGCCATGAGCTTCCCTTCTTGTAGCACGTGAACGTATCAGGCCCCCAAATGGCCCTTACAACAACTCACAACAAATTAAACTCCTCAAGATAACTAATGAATGAAAACCCCAATTTAGCTAAGAATAAATATGTTATCACAAATATATATGTATAAACTTAAATCTTTCTTGATGACATTATTACTTCCAAATGTATGTTACTTACCATTTTAAATGTTCAGATGCAAATTAACTATATATCTTAATGGGTAGTTATCGTTTCAACTAGGCAACAAGAAGATTGACAAAAGAAACTATACAACACGGAGAAAATCAAAAGAAAATACGGAAAAGGAAAGCATAAAGCAACTTAAGAAACCCTAGGAAATCGACACATAAAATGTACAAGTACAAGCTTAAATAGTACCTGTTGGAATTGAAGTGTGTAGATAAAGTTAAGTACCCTTTCCAATGCTTCACCTTCAATATCTTACCCACAAAAAGCCAGCTCTTTCTCAACAAAAAGAGAAAGAAGAAACAAAACAGATGTTAGAATTAGGTAGTTAGATTACCATATATATATATATATATCGGGGATATGCTTGGCTCCTCATACGCCATTCACGGGGACCCAACGGTATTCCGATGAGCTCTGCAAATGGCATACAGGGAGCCAGGCATATGCAGATCACATGTATGTAACCTACATATAACATAGAACTTACGTTTAAACTTCTTATATAACTGGTAGTAACTTGTAAAACAGCCCGAATAATTATCTAAGTAAAAGAAAGAAAGCATGGCTGAACTGAAAAATTATCTGCCCGTGATCATTGTCAACAAGAATCAACAAGATATCCAAAGAATTTTAGCTAAGAAGTAAGAAAAAGGAAATAGAGATTGAGATACAAAGAAGATCGAGGCAAGCTAAGATGGTTTATATTTTAGGAGAGAAAAGAGAGATTTGGGTTGATCAAACTGGGGTCCTAATCAGCTGGATCTTTTAGCCCCACCGGCAAAACATATTTACACGACCATAAGACCAAAAGCTATGGATGTTTCTTCTATATACTCTCTTTCTGTTTTCATAAATTAATTCATTCAAGTAGAAGGATAGACAACGATAGGAATGATGAAAACAAGCTGTTTATAAGCACAAAACAGCAAAATAATCAAACAGAAAAAGAAGGGCTGTGAAGAAATCAAGAAAGAAGTGTTCTTGTTGTTCTTAATTTGTAGGGTTGCCCTTTTTCTTTTCTTCGAAAGACAAAAAGCAAAGAAGTTTTTCTGGGGTTGGTTTTGCATCCAAGTCTACTTTACCATCTCCTTACAACACATATAAAGGCAGAATTGGAGGTGTTCTTTTGGAGGGGTAGGGGTGGGGTTGGGGGGTGGGAAGAATGGGGTTCATGTTGCTAACCACGCAATTTCCTAAGCTTCAAATCTTTACTCTTTACTCTCTCTCACTTGCTTTTTTCTGGGTCGTAAAAGCTACGGTTGCTTTTCTCCTCTGAAACTCCTTTGTCTTCAAGTGTTTGGACGACATGGATTCCTCTCCACTTCCCTTTCTTTCTCTTCCTTTCCTTAAATAAACTAAAAAGTGAAAAACCCTTTAGAGAAATATTGGAAACAAAGCCATTACCCACATAATAATAATAATAATAATAATAATAATAATAATAATAATAATAATAATAATAATAATAATAATAGTAATAGTTTTATCTTTTTTTTCTCTTTCTGCCCCTATTCCCACTTCTTCTTTATCTTTATGTCCCTTTGTGTATTCTATACTCCATATTACAACTAACCCTATCGTTTATAATATAGTTTTACCTTTTGGAATATCCTCACTTTCGGCCTAATATCCTTTATACAACTACTTAATCTGTATTTCCGTTTTGTTAGGGTATGACTTCCAAATAATATACTACTAACTATATTGTAAAACTATGATTTAGCATGACATATAGTTTTAATACTAGTAATTATTTACTGTTTTACTTACAACTATATATTATTGTTGCTCCCATTCAACTAGTCGTAATTGTTAATATGGTTGAGCGGCTTGAGCCTTGTTATGGTTCTTGTTGTTAGAGCGAAGTGACATTCCCTCAAATTAATGTGCATGGCAAGTGATGAAGAGGATTAATTGCAATCATACTCCGAGCGTCCTTATTTGAATTTCCTTTGAATGGTCAATATCTTATAAGAATCTTTTGCTGTCTACACAAGTTCACCAAATCAAACTCTAGTGTTGACATCAATAAAACAAGCTAGTAGGTATATGTACACATGTGATTCACTTTTTGTCTACACTGTGTTAGGCCTTTGTGTTATATATACAATAATACACATAAATAATACAGAGCTTAAAGTAAATGTTTTGCAAAAACCTAATGCTCTTCTCGGTAGGGATGGCAGTAGGATGGTGTGGAACGTGTTGAAGCTTAACCAGCAAAACTTTTTACCTGGTCCATCTCGCCTCGCCTCGCCTCGCCTTGCCCCACATACTAACTCTGTCAGTTTTCAGCTCGACACGCATCAACACGCTCCATCCCGACCATTATAACTTTTTGTTTCCTTTTCTTTTGCTATCTTGTTATTTAGTAGTGTGAGTTGTTATTGTTTTATATAAATCTTGAAAAGCTTAACATGAACTATCTTTTAAGATCGGGTTAGATTCGATATTTTATTTTCTTTACGAAAAAGAAGAAAACATATAAGAGAATTTCACATTAAGGTGGTGAAGGAAATTGATAAGTCAAAATTTTAGGCCTTTCAAACTAAACATATTACAGAATAATTCTAATATAACTCTGCTGCATAAAGGTAATTATTAACAAACCTGGTTAAAATAACACGGGCTAGCCAGTTTTCGGACTGGTCATTCAAAAATAGTCAGCGTTTGCAAAGTCACTGAAAAATAGCCACTATTTTGCTGCAACAGGGACCGGTCCAGCATAATATACTGGAGATCGGTGCACCTGTGTATGAACTTCCAGCATATTATGCTGGAACTCCAACACACGGAAACTTCCAGCATAATATACTGGAGATTGGAGTGCCTGTGTATGAACTTCCAGCATATTATACTGGACCAGTATATTATATGGGAACTCTAGTATATTATGCTGGAGTTCCAGTATATTATGCTGGAACTCCATTATAATATGCTAGAGTTCTAGTATACTTATGCTGGAACTCCATTATAATATGCTAGAGTTCTAGTATACTTATGCTGGAACTCCATTCTAATATACTGGAGTTCTAGTATACTTATGATGGAACTCCAGTATATTATGCTGGAGTATTTTCGAATTTTGAACAGTATTTTCGTTCAGATTACCATTACATGAAAATTGGCTAAATTTCGATTACATTTGAAACTGTGGCTATTTTTGAATGACCACTTGTAAATCTGACTATTTTTTAATTTCTCCCACAAACCTGTTAGGAATGGTCTGTTGTGCCAAAACGACCCAATGACACTCTCAACAGTTAAAATAGCACGTGCTAGTCATTTTTCGGATTGTAATTGAAAAATAGTTAGAGTTTGCAAAGTTATTGAAAATAACCACTATTTTGCTGTAACACGGAAAGTTCAAGCATAATATACTAGAGATTGGAGCACCTGTGTATGAACTTCCAGCATATTATGTTGGAACTCCGGTACATTATGAAATTCAAGCATCTTATGTTGGAAGTTCTTGAAAGTACAAGGGGGGTAGGGGAGGAGTGAATTGTATATTTTTAAACTTAATCGCTTATTAGTTGACTAGTTTATCGAATAGTCGACTAGATGTAATAACCTAATAGTTATGATGACAGAAAGTAAGATACAGAAAGTAAATGCAGGAATTAAAGACACCAGAATTTTATACTGGTTCGGAATCAATGTGAATCCTAGTACAGTCCTCATGGGTTGCAAAGGAGTTCTCTTTAGTAAATGCGTTTCTCCGAGTACAGTTGAAATGACTTGACAACACTGTTCCTCTAACACTTGTTTTTTTTTATACAATGTCTCACTAGTGTTATACTCTCATTTTTCTCTGACTTGTTACACAGCAGATCTTAGTGAACTACAATGTTTGTTTGCAGTAGAATAAAGAGAGGGATTTTTGGTTCGATCAAAGTATGTCTGACTAAGGTTTAAGGCTAGGTATAAATACTTTGATGAAGGTCGAGGCTCGACAATCCAAAAGATTTGATCCTTGGAAAGAGATTGATTCTTTCCAAGAATAAGATAGCTAGCCATTGCTCTTCCTTGATTTCCTTCTTTTAACAGATGTATGTAATGAAGGCTTGCTCCTTGATTGTTGGTTCTTCCGAAATTAGCCGTGTATCAATCTTTACAGGATCTTTGATCTTCCGGGTATGCTGGCCTTGATTCATGCCTGAAGTTTAGACTTGCTTGATTCTCTCCATCGCAGCTGGCCGTTAATCTTTGTTGATTGATTTGTTGATTGAGTTCTTTCCTTAGGTATCTAGATTTGCTGATTGGATTGTAATCTTTGCTGATTGATTTCTTTCCTTAAGCATCAAGATTGACTCCAACGATCTTGTAGTATCTTCTTGATTCCTTGTAATTGATTTCCTGCATAGGTATATTATTTGTATCATTAAAACTGGATCTAACAATCTCCTCCTTTTTGATGATGACAAAATAATATATAAGTGTAAACACTAGTTGACTTCCTTGTGTTTTACTCCCCCTTAATGTATGCAGTTGACTAGTCCATGATATTCCCCCTCAGTTCATGCAATTGACTAGTCTATGGTTGAGTCGACTCCTGCCATCGAACTGTACCTGTACAGTATAACATATACTCTTTCTCCTCCTTTTTGGCATTAGCAAAGAGGGAACAAGCCAAGAACTGAACAGAATATATAGTATTTAAACAGGAGAGTTATAGGAATTATCCAATGGCTGAGAAAACAGCCCACAAAAATAGCACAACAAAAAATAAATTATTCAAAGGCTGAAAACACAGCCCATAACCAGCAGAGCAAAAAATTATCTTAAAACAACCACACTAACGGTGCAGAAAATAAGTAAGGGTGTTGCAAATAGCCTCCTTCAATTGTTCAAAGCTAGCATTGGCTGAGATGCTCACTCCATCCAACCTGTCATGAATCTCCATGAAGACTTTGATAGCAGTCTCCCTAACTCTGAGAACAACAACTCTAATTTTGGACACACTAGACCCTATTTCCTTGGAAATGGTATGAATGTCACCAACATAGACTGAGGGTTGGGAGAAGATTTTTGATTTCAGAGAGTTGAGAGTCAATGGCACGAAGCTTGTCACCAAGATCAAGACTACTAAGACTGGGATGAGGGACAGAGGTGAAGGTTTGGGCCCTATAGGGGCATGCTTTACTTCACTATCGTGCTTCTTAACCTAGGAGCCCTTTACACTCACATATCCCATACTAGCAAAGGCTCTAGAATTGTAAGACTTAGAGACAGTGATGAAGGGATAGTTGGACAGGGAAATTTGATGAGCTTCAAGAATGTGAGTGATTGCCATGCTATAGGGTAGACTGGTAGGATCTTCAGCACTCTCGATCATGAAATTGATAACCTAGGAGGAAAGCTTGATTTTGAGTTTGGTCACAAGGTAATAGACGAATAAGGTGTCTCTTTGAGAGAAGGTTGAAAAGGAACCAGTACGGGGAAGCAAATTAGTTGCTACATTATGGGCCAGAACTCGAGTTTTGAAACTGACATCACTGAGACCTAACTGGTTTGGAAGGGATTCAGAGGGACACTGAGCAATACACTATTTGGCTTGCTCAAAGGAAATTTCAAAGTCATCAGTCCAGGTGTTTTTAAACTGCATAGGAAAACCAGAACAAAGACACTGAAAGAGCGAATCAAACAGGGCACAGTCAAAAATAATGCACTTACCTAACACTAAAGATTCCAACCTCTCAGGCTTACTAGAATGGAGATTTGCATAAAATATTTTTACCAGGGGTTCATATACCTTACGCGGAGGAATAGAGAAGAACTTAACCTAACCTTGATGAACGAAAAGGTATTTGAACTTGCAATTGAGGGCTTTCATGTCGTCAAGGTCGACGGGCCTTCCATGAGCGATGGGCTTATCTTTCAGAGCAATGAAGAAATCCCTATTTGGGGAATCGAAGAAGTTGAGGCCATATTCAAGAGAGGCAGAGAAATCAACCTTGTATTTCTTTGGGGTGGAGGAAACAGGGGGTTTTTCCATGGGTCGCTTACCTAAAGCATTTTCTCCTAAGAGTTGAGAGTGTTTAGAGAAATCTCCCTGAAAAGAGGCGAAACCCTCAGAGTGATCGGACCCTAAGTCTATTTGTTCTGGGGGCATAGATGGGGGTTTTGCTTTGGAACTGGTGCTTTTTCTGGTAGAGGCAGAGGGATTTCTGGGATGTTTGGCCATTTTAGGGAAGGGGTTTGATCGGAGCTTTGGAGAGGAGATAAAGATGAAAGTGATTGAAAAGGGTTCTCCGCCTTAAGAAGAGGGTTTC